AAAAAAAAAAAAAAGAAAGAAAGACTGGAATGGAAAAAGTGTCTATTTCATGCCCTCCAGGATAGCCAGCCAGCCGGAAGGCCTCCCATTAGGCCTGCGAACCCTATCCAAGGGAAGCAGGGCAGTGCGCTATGCAGGGAAGCACTACCGAGAAGGGCCTTTCCTTCTATCCTTTAGCAATAACCCTGTCCCTGGCCCCCCAGAGTATAAGGAAAGCCCCATCTGGAGGGTCCCAGGAAGTGGCCAGTCTCTGAGGCTCCACAGAAAAGCAATATAGGAGACAGAAGGGCAGGCTGAACACTGCCCTTCCCACCATCAGATATCTGGCAGGTCCAGTGATGTCCTTCCGTCCAGAGTGACCTCAGTTGATGGACTCGTACTCCAAGGGCCGCTTGTGGCGCAGTAGCAGAAACAGGCCTCCCCCCAGCAGTATGAGCCCTGGGGCACCCAGTGCCACTGCCATGATGCCCAGGACTAATGGAGACAAGGCATCTGCTGGAGGGGAGCCCACCCCCACAAGCATTGACCTAGAACAAGCAGAGGGAGAGAGTAATGAGCACGCTTGGGCGAGAATATGGAGGCTCAGCCTCTACCTCAGCTCCCGAGTGCTTGCTGGGGCCCTCGCTCTTACCAGCTGAGGTAGTGTTGGTCCCAGTAGCCAGGGCCCGTTGAAGTTCCAAATGTCACATTGAAGGCACAGAAGTTGTTCTGGGGCCCAAAGAAGGCTCGGACAATGGGTGACTGGGGGAGAGAATATGCCAAGGTCGGGTGGAGAGGGGAAGCATGGCCGGGCAGGGCTGACTCTCGGCCCCGCTGCTGCTGGGAGTATGCCACTGGCCGCCACTGCACGAAGCCTGTTGGGAGGGAGCCCCATAGCAGCTGGTCCAGCTGGGGAGAAAGGCAAAGACAGGGTGAGGAGGACCAACCTATGCCCAGCTGCCCTTCCTCACCTCTCCTAGCCCCATCAGTCAGTGCTGGTGACAGGCAGTGTTCTGAGGGCAGAATCCTGAGTCCTAGACAGGACCGGAAGGAGGGCTGGCTTGAACATGCACTTGGTGCTTCTCTAGCCCTGCAAGTTTGTGCTTAGCTCCTTTTCAGGGACCCGAGGACTTGCAGATCCCCATCTGCCAGAACGTGAGTCACACTGAACTGCTTCCTGTCTGTGCTGAGGGCAGAGACCTGGTTAAGTTCATTAACACAGTGCCCACACTTAAAGGACTGCTAGACAGTGAACGGCTGAATGAGTCTCTGAGGTCCTACCTACACTCCCCACCCACATGTATCTCCTAGAAGCCTGACCTGGAAGACAGCAGGTGCGTATTCATCATCAATAGAATGTTGCTCCTGTACCAATGGGCAGTCGGGGCCCCGGCCCAAGGTGGCTACTTCCAGCCCAAACAAGGAGCGGTTTCCCCGGGGAGAGGCCCCAACCAGGGTCACTTCTAGCTGGCAAGTATCTGCCGTGTGCAGGAGGCGAGGGGATTGGGCTGGTCGGCTGGATCTGGAAAAGGCCTGGACCTAGAAAGGAAACACAGGGGATGTGGGGAACCGCTGGATGCCTGTGTTTGCGGGCTATCCCATCCTTATAAATCAGCCTTTCAAGTTCTAATTCCCCACTCCTTACCCTGAAGGCCAGGCTGCCATTAACAAAAGCCCTGGTGGCATCATTCATTGGGTGGCCTTGAAATGTGGCAGTCAGGGTGGTAGGATCCAATGAGTCAGTGATGTTGTTCCAGGAAAACTTGGCCAAGGAGTATGGAGGATATGGCTTTCCTGGGGCTTTTGCTGCCGTGTCGGACACATTGGTGCTGTCAAACTCAAGCAGCTAGAAGATGGGGGAGGGTGGAACTGGGTTCACCTTGGTCTAGGTTTCTCTTGGGTCACCCTCCAACTCACTTACCTCCCCCATCCCCAGGTTCTCATATCTATTTCACTCCCCCACCCCTGTCTTCAATTCCTCCCCTGATTGGGACAAACGCCCTCCTCTGTGCTCTTTCCTTGGTCCTTCCCCAGCCTCCTCACCCTGGTAAAGATAAGGGCAGAAGAAAACTGGATGCTGTCCTTGGGGAGCACCATCAGGCCCCCATCAGGCTCAGGGGATAGCAGGTGGCTCCAATTGACACTCAGGGTGCTGTGGGGGGTATTGGTGGCCACCAGTACCACTGCCGGGGGCCCCAAGGTGCCCCACACATAGTGTAGTGTGGAGTTGGTGCCCACTGCCCGGACATGAAGCAGGTTCTGGGGGGTATCTGGCCAGCCAGGGATGACCTCTAGAGATACCTGAAATGTGAAGAGCAGTGGAGGATTGAGGGAACAGGATCAGAGAGAGACACAGGCAAAGGAACTTGAGCTTAAAGGGAGGGGTCTGGGAAATGCTGGGGAAAGAGTGGGACCTTGGGGGCCTAGGTTGCTGAGGGAATCCTGGCTAAGAGGCAATGGCAGGATGGCCCACAGGGGCGGATGTAGAGCCAAGACTGCCCTGACCCTGATAGGGAGAAAGTCAGGGCACAAGGGCTGAGAAGAAGAAAAAGTCCAACACTTGCCCAGACCTAGGTCACCCGAGGCTGTGTCAGGGTCCACACTTTACCCTCACATCGGCCCTACTCCACAACTCTATCCCATAATGCACGATTGTCCCTCATTCCCCCAGGTTCAAGGACCCTCCTCTTGGCAGTCACCCTTCACTGCCACCCTTTGGAGTGCCACCCTTTTCTAACCACCCTGCCAGGTGTCATTTCCGGAAGCCTCTATTGCCCTCACCTGGCGGGTATCCTCCCCCCGCAGAGCAAACGGGGCTGTAGACAGAAGCAGACTCAAGAGGAGCATGGGGCTAGCAGCACAATTCCCCCAGCCCCAGCATTGCTGGCCACAGCCACACATGCGGCCCCAACTTCAGCAGGCGGAAAGGACCCAGAAAGTCACATGACTCTGATTCAGCTGATTCCCTTCAAGGGCGGGGCAGCCACAACAGCTTTTAAAGGGACCTCCTCCCTTAACCCAGATACTAGCCTGAGTCAGGACAGAGTCAGAAAGGCTGGGAGTGTGCCGTCCCTCACTGGGCTGGCAAGACACACAGACTGGATGAGGACATGCTCAGCCTCTCCTACCCACCGGTCCCTCTGAGCAGTTACAGTGGGCAAGATCCAAATGGGGTCCTAATCATGCAACTGTGGTGGGAAGGTCCAGGGGATCTGAAATTTGTCAGTCTAATATTTATTTATTTATTT